AACCATGATACATCTGGGTGAGTTTGTATTGACTGTTAAACTTACTTGAGGAAGTGTCCAGAACCAACTGTTTAGAGGTAAGCTTAGGGTTGAAGAAGATAAAGGTGCGCATGACAGTGATGAAAATCAGTCTGAAGCTGAGGATATCACTATCACCGGCAATCTGGAGAACCTGGTACAGTCAAACACGTTACATAGCACGAACTCCAATAATCTCTCAAAACCTTGTCAAGCTCTACAAGTTTTCAGAAGTGCCACCCCTAGAGACAGGAAGAAATTGGCTCCCACTCCAGGTGAGACACCAAAAAGTTTCCGCTTGTATCGCTGGAACTCAGATGATCCAACAAGACTGAACAACCTGTGTAAATAGGTTGTGCTGAGAACGAATGGATGAAAGTGAATGGGTTAAAGGGTAGACCGAAGGCACTGCTACCAAGCTCATCCTTCCGCACTCGCATGACAAGAGAACGGATTCTGTCATACCAACAGACTCACTCTTGGAAAATAGAGAACTGTCCGACAAGATGTAGGACGACTACTTCATAAAGTTGGGAATAGAAAACATCACAGGCAACTTATCCCGAGGAATTAGAGTACTTTGAAACAGACTCCCACCTCTCAGGGTATCAGCAATGACAGCAAAGCAGACGAAGCACGCATCGCTGGTGCCGCGCAAACCAAACATTGCGGGCTTCTGCCCATAAGGGTGAAACTAGAGAAGCCTTGGGTCGCCAGGGTGGTGGAAAGAAAGTCTACACTTAGTGATCTGCATAAGGTTGCGACCGTGGTGTGCACGGAATACCCGAACTGGTGGTTGGATTCATACAGTGTGATGATTACCTCCTCCGAGTCAGGCGGTCGAGGTGGCTAGCGGCTTAAGTGGGACTTGGAAATTCGCCTGCCTCCAGCGTTTGTAGGTTACCGAGCCCTACGCACTTGCAGAGCATTTCCTCACCAAGATTGCTAGCTGTACTCTTTTACTGCAAAGGATCACTAAAAGAAGCTCTCACGGTATGGTACCGTATGAAAAACCACATGGGAGATGCTGTACGATGCTGTGAGAGTAAACCATGAGCTGCTAGAGTAGAAGATAAGAGGCAACCTCCGAGAGCACTGCGAGCTGCACTGGTCGGAAAAGAACTAGCCGGTAGGCCACCTGTAGACGCAATAAACATACCGTAACACTAACACCAGGATTCCAAGAGTGACCAAAAACGGAGGTCTGTCAGTGCAGTGGGGACTGACAGTCAGAATCTGATGCAACGGCACATCAGCATCCAAACACGTTCCTATATCGCACTAAGCCCAGAACGCAGCACATGCTTCTACAGCAGTGCAATAGGTCTGAGGAGTAAACTACTAGAGTTAAAAACAATGTGTCATAATCTGCAAGCAGATACAATCCTCATCACGGAGACATGGTTGTTATCAGACGCCGTGGATGAGGAAATATCTTGGCCTGACATGACCCTTATCTTAAAGTCAAGGAAGTGACTAATGGTGCATTCAACTTACTACCAGAATCCTTATAGTGCCATTCCACCATAAACTAGATAAAGTACCTAATCTGGGTGGCATATAGGCCTCCCCATTGCACGACAGAGCGCAAGCGCATCTGCTCAGTTTCATCGCAACAACCACCTCTGTAGCCTGTGACCATGTGGTCCTACCTGGAAACTTCGACACACCGACACTCAACCCGGGATGTGAAGTAAGATGTGGGCATAATTCTTTCGAACACAAGCTTCGAAATACGTTCGTGGGAGCGGGACTCTTAAGAAGGCTGGGGAAAACACCGTATGCCAAAGGATCACCACTCGACTACGCTCTAACAGACGATGATCTTTTGGTGGACGACATCTGTATCCAACCCCCCTAGGTAAAAACGACCACGTCTTGGTAAGATTCTCTATGATCACCAAGGAGACACTACCAATAGTTGAGCCAGAAGCGTTCTGCTGTTACCAAAAACCAGACTACCATCCCAGAACAACGAATTCCTGGGGCTGCATGGCCACAAGAATGGCACTCACTATCGATAGACAAACACTGGATACACATCAAAGATATTATCTAGAGCGCTGTCAATAAGAGTGTTCCGAAAATTAGCAGACGGCCACCTCTCAAACAATCTTGGGTGACTCGCGCAGCCCAAATGCAAATAGACAGGAAAAAGAAGGCATGGAATCGGTGGCGTACATCATGCAAAAGAATCAGACCATCATAGCTGCAAGCGCTACGCAACTTGTGCAACATAAGAACTCGTAATGACAGAGATACATACCGGAGGAACCTGGCTGGGCAGTTAAGCTACAACCCGAAAAGTCTGTATCGGTTTATGTCGCACCGCAAACCGACGAATGAGGGCTTAAGCCGGATCACAGGGCCAGGCGGAAAACCTTCGAACAGCAGTGAGATGGCGGGACTGTTGAGCAGTCTATCCGACGGGCAACTCAATCCAGTAACGTATTCACTATCAACACCTAGTAATCTAACGAAGTCACAGGACTGCGATACAAAGCTGTGGACGTGAAGACTTCGTTAAACCAAGTGTCGGCGAAACTTTCAACACAGAATAGGGGAATCCCCGGGCTGTGATGACATGAGACAGGTGGTCCTATGCAGCTGTGTTCACGCACTCGCTGGAAGTGGGCCAACTCCCCAAAGAATGGAAACGTACCATCCTGTCACCGGTCCTCAAGGGAGGAGACCGAGAGGACCCATGTGACTACAGACCAATAGTTTTACTCCCCATACTCTCCAGGGCACTGGAAAGCCTGGTTTTAGATGTTGCCTGGGACTGCCCCGACAGAAACAACATCGCTCATCCCACCCAGCATGGCCTCAGAATCGGGTATTCATATGCCTTAAACTTGATGACTGCTTGGGATGACTAGACCACCAAATGGGACAACAAACAACCTATCCTCGTTGCCTTCTTGGACTGGCTGAAGCTTTCGATAACATTTAACACTGCACCATGCTCGCCAAACTTGAAAAAGTGTGTATCTTTAAACCACTCTTGGCATGGTTTACAACATGTCTAGAGGACAGAGAATTCTGCACTAAAGTAAACAGAATTCGATTGACTTGGAGGAAAGCAAGAACAGGAGTTTCTCAAAGGGTGATTCTTGGGCCACTCCTACTTCCACTACTCACAAGTGACCTCCCCACTGGAGTCTGATCAACTATCCTCCTATTCGCCGACGACATTAAAATATGGAGAACGATAGGAGGGGGAGAAGATTCTAGGGTGCTTCAAAACGACCTATTGCAGCTGTGGCCCTGGCCAGCTGCAAACGATTTGGACTTTAACCTGGAAAAACGCTAGGCGATGTATCTTCGCACACCAGGGGCGATGAAAATCAGCTTCTCTCTTGGCAAGCATGCCATCACCAAGATATCCACAGAGCAGGACTAAGGACTAAACTTTTCTGACACACTGGATACTGCTGGCATCTGTAAGGGAATGGCGGCAAAGGCGACCGCTATTATGCACTTTCCGAGAAGGCAACTTGGATTGTTGACCCAAGGGTTATTCTCCATGGGAATTCGAACCCCTGTTAGACCACAACCAGAGGTGTTCAACACGATAGCTCCCCCAGCATTAAAGAGAGACGTAAATACTCTCGAAAAGGTACAAAGTTGGTTGTAGGACCAACATGCATTACATATGCACAATACCTCGGACAATTCAACTTGTTCACACTAAGCTGTCGAAGAAAACAGGGTGATCTGATAACAGCCTACAAGATCATTCACCAAGTGGACCACCTAAATAGGACAACATTATCGGTTCAAAACCGACAATCCCGTCGGGACCCCACTGTAGGGCAAAGAAATCCTCCCATAGAGTGTGTCTTATGAAACTCTGCCGAAAGAAGCGGTCACAGCTATATCAGTCAACCCCTTCAAACGACTACTGGATGAGTATGTGAGCCTAAATGGCTTACGACGAACATTTACCAGTAGTGTAGTGGACCCAAAGAATGTCAAGTAAACCAAAGTGACAAACTATGTATAATTTACAAGGAAAATGGATTTTATGGTACACTTGTGCGAAAAGTTATACGTTATAGCACAAAATAGTATTGTCAATGTTATAGATAATCGCGGATTACTTGGAGGTTATTTCTTCGGTATCGTCCACCACAATTTTAGGATACTCCATAGATCAGAAGGCGATATTTATCGCTTCTCCGCTGCGGTCGTCGGTCGGCTTGATTGTCGTAATATTTGGAAGTAGGATGAGAAGTCATGTAAATCCTCAAGACTATCAGTTATTATGCACGACAGGCAATAGTCACGGAGGCAGAAGTCGGAATGGTTCTATTTCCACGATTAGCAGCAGCAAAAGATGCAATTCCCACCACAACCAAAAAAGTGTATATATAAACAACAATCGTTCTTACAAGTATTGGAAATAATGCACAGAATGTGTAAAAGAGACGATGAAAAGGAAATATTGCTTATAGTCGAAGTGGTTTATACACAATTGCATGCAGTCTCCACAGTAATAACTGATGATACACCCTTCCATGCTTGTTCTCCCCAACCCTAGTATTCACAGTAAGAAGCATCTCTCACCCATATCATTGTCATTTATATTTATCTCTTCATAAGTACTTCTCACTCCTCTTTTTCTCAAACCCTACTCACCCTGTTTCTATCACTCATTAAGAAACGCTTAACACTTACCTGCAGGTGCCTACAACAAAAAGAATTCTAAAAGGTTGATTGATCTTATCAGCAGCTCTGTTGCCCTTCAAAACAAACCAAGCTACAACTTGCAAATAAAATACCTTCAAAAAGATAATCACTACCTCCAAAGTATAAGCAAGAAGACGCAAACTTCTGTGACCATCGAAGGAGTACAACCAAACAAAAAGAGTCAAGCCCCAAGACATAGAATCCAGAGCTCAAAAACTACAGGTTTTCTCTACTCGCACTATTGATGTTTATTGTTGGATCACCATGTGAAACTTCGTATATTGGCTGTTGAATTGGTGACCTAGTAGCATGTTGGAATAATCAAATGTGTGGTACCGTGGCTTTTTGCCTGTCTATCAGCTTCTAGTTTAAGTAGGCAAAATACGCGTGCATGGGAAAATGTCTGAAGGAGACCAAGGAGTCACTGTAGAAAAGGATGTTGATGTTAAGAAAGATTCTTCATCAGGTCAAACCAAGAAGAAAGACAAAAAGAAACCTGGAAAAGACCAAAAAAGCACCAAGGATGACCTAAAAGAGAAGAAGCTATCGAAGCATGTTGCAAAGATAAAAGAAGACCTAGCCAGGCAAAGAGAAGAGGAGGAAAGATTGAAGCGTGAACAGGAAGAGGAATTACGACGTCTTGAAGAGGAGCGTCTGAAGGAAGAAGCCATTCTCGCCAGGGAACGAGAACTAAAACTGAAGAAGAAGCAGAAGGAAAAAGAACGTAAACAACGTCTAAAGGAAGAGGGAAAGTTTCTTACTGACAAACAAAAGGAGGACCGGCGTAAAGTTATGGAGTTACTACAGGCACGCGGTATTGAGATTCCAGATGAGAAGTCAGATGTTAAGAAAAAGCCACAGTATGCGAAACTCAAGAAGCGCCCTACACAGGTGAAAAAAGACGAAGCTCAGGAGGTGCAACAAGTTTTGACCAATGAAGACCCTGAGATGTCAAATGAAGAGCTAAGTTGCTGGGAAATGTTAGCGGATACCCACCTAAAAACTCCAAGTGAAGAGAGTTCTGAGGAAACTGAAGACTACTTGATCATTGAACAAAAACCCAGTCATTCGGAATCAACGGAAGCATCTACCATTAATGATGTAGAATTACCTGAAGAAGAAAAGGCTAGACTTATAGAACTAGCTAAAATTCGCATAAAGGTAACATTTATATTTTTATGTATTTATAAGGTCAGGAATCTCATGAAGCATATGAAGCTCAGCGTAGTGAAAAGAATCTACGAGCTGGAGTTATCTGTGTGTTAGGACATGTTGATACTGGGAAAACTAAGATCTTGGATAAGTTAAGGAATACTCATGTTCAGGATCGAGAAGCTGGTGGTATTACCCAACAAATCGGTGCAACTAATGTTCCACTGGAGAATATACAATTGGCTACTCGAATGTGCCCTTACCTAAACCATTCAGAGTTACGTTTACCTGGGCTACTCATAATTGATACTCCTGGTCACGAGTCGTTCAGGTAATTAACTTGTTAATAATTTTTTGCTTTATTACAGTAATCTACGTGTACGTGGATCATCTTTATGTGATATAGCAATTTTAGTTGTCGATTTAATGCATGGATTAGAAGAGCAAACAAAAGAGTCAATTAAAATTTTACGATCACGAAAAACACCATTTATAGTGGCTCTTAATAAAGTTGATCGACTTTATGCATGGAAGTCTAATCCTGAAGTTTGTATTGAAGAAGTAATGAAAACACAAAGTATTATGACTCAAAATGATTTTTCGGATCATTTAAAAAAAGTTAGTTTATTTTTCATTAACTTAAATTTCTATATAACGAACCTACTAAGATTATTCTTTGGAAGTTAGATTGTCTCCATTCAAACACTACATTATCATATTGTTATTTAGAGTACATTAGCTTTTAGAATATCCTTGCTCTTTTTATTTTTATTCATCTCAATTAAAACAACAGCGATATCCAAGTTTAGTAGTTTTGACATACGAATTAACGTAGAACCTTGCACGATTCACTATCTACTATCAGTAATGCGCGACTAAAGGAAACTTGTGGATTTCGAACTCATGCTTATAGATTTTGAAGCACAGTTCATTCCCTTTTGTATACACTCCTTTGATATCCGTAGAAGTCTTTTGGAGTTTATCCGTTTATCCCCTTTTAGGTAGTGGTTATCAATTTTAGGTTAGTTTGTTTTGGGGAACCAATAGAACTTCTGATAAGATCAGTTAGTCTTTTACAATTCCTGTCTTTATAGGCAATTTTAAATATTAAGCTCTATTCAGCGAGTAAGGCGATATGGAGCATATAGAAAATGAAAAGAGGAATATTAAATAACTGGTGATAATAAGGAAAGAAGAAAAGGAATAGGAAATAGCTGACCGCCAGATAATCATTATTCACTTTTTCTCACTTGATCAAGTTCTTTAACCAAAAGCTGTAAGCGTGTAAGTTCAAATTAAGAAAGATATTTCTTGGTTAGTGATCTACGTAGAGAATCAAGGACTAGCAGTTGGGCAGTACGGACTATGAAGAAACATCAGCAGGTGGTACTTCCGAGTTGTGGTGGTGTTTGCTTTTTAGGAGACTAAAATTTTCACATCCAGTTAGTCAACTGTTCTGTGTTCACTGTTTTGTTATGGTTGAAAGGTATTCTTCAACAATGAACACCGTAGTACTGACCTGTTCATTAGAGATGAACAATTCACGACGTTATTGAAGGAGGTTGCGTGATGATCTCCAGTTGTCACATTGCACCAAACGCTGATCACCTCACGACACGTGAATAGAATGTTGGACAGAACACTTTAAAGCCCAGTTCAACTGGCCCTCAGCAATACTTCACTAGCCTAACGTTCAGCCTTAACCTGAATGCAACATAGGTGTCAACTCTCTTTGAAGTTGAGAAAGCTGTATCAAATCTGAATTGGTGCAAAGCTGCAGCACTTGGCAGTTTTCCACCTGAAGTTTTCAAGGATGGAGGTAGGAAATCGCCAATTAAAGTGACGAACGTAGTGTATGGGAGTTAGAGGTAGTCCTGTCCGACTGGTATAGCCAGTGAATATATGATGGTTATCAAAACTCCCTCCTCGGACTCATGCAGCCGTGTAAAAGCCTATGAAGAGTTACCATCGAAACTGACGACAACTAGTGATGCCCAACAGGGATGTCATCTGTCACTTTTTATGTAACTTCGTTATAAACGTACCAGTGGACGTAACCTTGAGTATATCTGACCTCAGGGATTGATCTACTCTCTGGAGGTGATCTAGTTGACTTAGCATATGCGGACGATATTGTCCTGCTAGATGAGCAGGACCCTAACGAAATGCAAGGTCTTGTGATCGCGTTGAGCAAAAATCTGACTAGTTTGGCATGTGTTTGGTACCTGTCAAATGTCAGATGATGCTCCGGGATTGGTCTGGAACCACTCAGTTCAATGATAAGAAGTAAAGTGGTGGAATATGTCGATCACTTCACTTAGGTAGTTGTTTAGGATCTATAATTAGTTATCTGGTCCTCAATTTATGAAAAGATGACTGCTTGATGAATCGGACTTTTTCTGACTAACGCGGTTTTTTCACCTATCCTGAACCCTTCTCGCCAACTTAAGCATAAAATGACGATGAACCTAAAAAGCATGTGGACACTGTAGTAGTCAGGCTAATTTTCGCTGAGTTATTATTGGGAGATTTCTTCCCTGTTCGTTATAAATTGTAATGATCATCGATTGATAATAGGTCACCTATACTCCTACAATGCCTTCAGATGAAATACCGCATGTAACAAGTGTTGCCATCCCATATCGAAAAAATCGAAATGTGCTCAGCAGCCATTTGCCGTATCATACACTAAGTAATGAAGCACATCTGTTGTATGTAGGCTAATGGTATTATCTAGTTGCCCAGACCTTAGTAAGTGATGTGAGGTGTGAATCCACGACCCATTGTTTAAAACTAGGATGCGCACATCGACAAACTACTTTATCCATATGCTCCAGTTAGATGCCATGTTATTTTTCACGCAGTGTTAATCGAACTGACTATTCATGAGTACTTTTGGCAGTGAATTGTCACCTTAACCTTGTCTTAGATTTGAAATAGCCCCCCCTCCCCCCCAATTTCAGTAATAGTTTAAGGATCGACATTAAGTTGTCACTCAAGGGTGGTTTAGATGTTAGGTGACGAAAATATGACTATAGACCGGTTGTACTCTTTATCGAAGTATCTTACCTAACTTACCAGCTGCTTGTTCTGAGAGGTCAGAGTTCTGTCCGTTAGGCGTATTTCGCGTTCCACCTAGAACCGATGATGGTATGGGTCTCATCTACTTTCAATAAATGGGTCTCGGGTTCAAATTTATCTTCAGTTCAAGTTGACCGGTAGGTGGTGAAGTATTAGCATTTGATGACGTCTGCCATCCGTAAAGAAGTATCAAAATGCCTGTAATCAACCGCGTTTACAAACCAAGTGTTCTGCATTATCCTATGCGATTCTGAGGTGTTCATGTTGGCAGGAAGACAGAGTTGCTGGAATGTGATCTCTTAATGATACATTCAAGTGGCAAATACTGAAATCTAGGACACTTTTGAACAATAAAGACATCGCTTTCGGATTGGGAATCTGATTCCATGTAAATGCTGTCTAGTGCATACTGAACCACATATCCCTTTATAATCTTGAATATCTTACAATATACCTGCTTATTATGTGTCTAGTAATCTCTTGTTGGTCAATTTCAACATTTTATCACTAAATTCTTTTCCACTGTCTTGAGATCTGGGGTCATCAAACGGACAGACAACGTCTGTGTAGAACCTCGCATACAATTACATCGGTTCAAGTTGTGACACTTCACAATAGCATATGAAGAATAGGTGGATAAAAGAAGACTGATATCGAAGTAGGTAAAGATGTATTGGATGAGTGGGGATTTGAAAATTAAGGTTAGTTCAAGCATTTAAACTTCAGAGTATATCAAGAAGTGGATTCATCTACGCTGTTGTGACCTATTTTTAGCCAATTCACCAAGATTCTTCAATGACTAACTCCTATCATCTCGGGAAACCCAGCCACAAAGTCTACATCTGTCAACATTGCTTAGGCCAATAGTCAGCTTCATCGATTGATACTACGTCTTGATTTGACCACCCTAAAACCTCTTCCAATCTGACCAAACTTTCTTTAGCATAGCACGTTGAGATAGGTAGCGGTGAATCGGGATGCATAGTACATGTTCCAACCACATCATTGGATGAAGGTTAACAACCTCATTGATTAAATTGTATGAATTGATACACTGTTCTATTTCTCTTTGTTTTCATCTTTAAATATTATTAGCAAATTAGTTCACTTTTAGTGTATAATCTTTTTCAGTCATCTCCACTTGTTTTAACCTTCAGGTGTTTCAAGAATTCGCAATGATGGAATTAAATGTAGAATTATTTTATAAAAATACTAGACCTGAAGAATTCGTCAGTATGGTGCCAACATCTGCACATACAGGTGATGGGATGGGTGATCTTCTTTCATGTTTATGCCTATATTTACAAAATAACCAAAGCAAACGGTTAGCCTACACAGAAGAGTTGAGTGCTTCAGTTATGGAGGTAAGTCTAAAAGTGTTTGTATTCTGCATTGTTGTCATTTAGATTATTTCCGATACAGTAAGAGTTAGCGTCTCTATTTAAGAAAATCATAAGCATGACTAACAGTCTTCATTGGTAACCACTTCTCTCTCTCTCTCAAGGTGTGACTTGAAAAATTAAGATCATACCACCTGCAAAACTGTGGGTTGATTTATTCATAATCGTAAAAAAAGGATTGTACAGATTGTAAAGCGTTAAATGTCGATTAAAATTTGATGTAAACAGTTAAGTGGACGCAGTCAGAATTTGTACTGGGCGATGATTGAAGGTGAAATGAAAAGTTGGACCGGGGCGGGATTCGAGCCAGCGACCATCGAGTTAATTGACTGGCCACGAATTCATAGAGTAGTCGGGCAAAACTCTTGGTGATTAAAGTTAAATGAAAATCTGCTTAGCAGTCGGAGCTCATTGGTCAGTTGTTAGAGCACCGAGCCGGGAACCCTGGTGGTCGCCGGTTCAAATCGCACTGCTGTCCAACTTTTCATTTCACCTTTAATCATCATCTAGTATCAATACTAGTCTCTTGAACCACGCTTATCACAGATAGTCATAATGATAATCAATCAGAATTGACTATGAAAACAAAGAATCAATTTGGGGACTATAAAATGAAAACAAGCGTGGATGGTAATTGAAGAACAATGATATGGGCATTCGACAAGATTTCTAAATTACCACTCAGCCTATCCGATCACGGTAAAAAAAAAAGCAACAGTGCTGATATAGGGTCTTTGAAACAGAACACGTAGGTTAACAACATGCCCTGATGGCTAACGAAAGGAGATGAATGTTTTATTCAACACTGGTAAGGAATTATTATCCAGAACAGGTTGTAAAAGATGAAATCAAAATGAAGAAACAAAAGCCGGCAACGGAAGTCAACAAGAAGGATACTTCCTGAAAGACAATAATATTACCGTAAACTAGAGGGAATTAGAAGAGATATTTTAAAAAGGTTGCTATTTCCCCGGTGGAGATGTGACTTATTGATTTCAGCAGTTGACTTCTAATCAGTGGATCACGAACTCGCAAACCTCCCCACGTATTGAAATTTAAGCAACTAGGTATATAGCTCATTTCCTACTGCACGAACGTGGACATAGCTGTTGAATGACTTTTGATTTCCAGCATTCCCATGACATTTTAACCCAAAGATCAGATTGAATGAATATCAAAAAGTCATACTCAGTCTGCTGTAAAAGCAGCACTGAAGACTGTAGCCGACTCCAAGATAATGGCTAAAAAGAGCCAGTGGATATCAGCAGCTTCTTCCAAACTAATGGATGCACGTGAATGCATCCCTGCAGGCTCTGAGTACAATGAAGAGCGAGCGCAACTTAAAAATAAACTGACGAAAAGTCTGCGCAACGATCGTGAACAGTGGTGGGCAGCAAAGGCTAAAGAGATGGAAAAGGCAGCGGCGATCGGTAACAGTAGACAGTTATTTAGACTTATTAAGGAGACTGGGGGGAAATGGTCAACAACAGTTAGTGAGGTTATAGCGGAGAAGGACGGATCGGCGATTCACTCGCAGGGAAGGCGACTGGGACGATGGGCAGAACACTTTGAGGAACAGTTTAACTGGCCTCCAGCCACCATTGCGCTGCCCGCTATCCAGTCGGACCCTGAATGGGACATAGAGACAGGTCCCCCAACACTAGAAGAAGTTGAGAAAGCGGTAGGTAGCCTGAAACGGGGAAGGGCAGCAGGACCAGACGGACTACCTGCTGAGGTATACAAGAATGGTGGTAGAGTTCTCTTAGTCAGGCTAACGGAAGTGTTAGCCAGTATATGGGAATCAAATACGATCCCCTCCGACTGGTCTAAGTCACTGATCATCCCAGTCTTCAAGAAAGGCGAGAAGTCCTCTTGTGATAACCACAGAGGAATCAGCCTGACAAACATAGTGTCTAAGATCCTAAGTTCTATAATTCTCCGACGCCTGAGTGGAGCTCGGGAACAGCAAGCCCGAGAAAACCAGGCAGGCTTTAGACCTGGCCGTGGATGTATCGACCAAATATTCACACTGCGCCAGGTCCTGGAACATAGGCATGCTTACAGACGCCCGACAATAGCTGTATTTCTCGACCTGAAGGCGGCATTTGACTCCGTTGATCGAGAAGTCTTATGGCAGTGTCTGTCACTGAAAGGCGTGCCTAGTAAGTACATCACCTTATTGAAAGCTCTCTACTCGAACACTTGTGGGCATGTTAGAGCCTATGGTGAGTTGTCCAGGGAGCTATACTCATCAAGTGGTGTCCGTCAAGGATGCCCACTATCCCCATTCTTATTTAATTTTATCATAGATATTCTTATGGAGGTTTCCCTCTCGTCACCTAATTACAAAGACGTTGACCGGACACAGGTGAATTTTCCTTAGATCTAGAATATGCAGATGACATAGTCCTGTTAGGTGAAGACGCTGACAAGATGCAGAGTCTTCTGAACACTTTGAGTGGGAATTTGAGAATGTTTGGGATGCGATTTTCACCACCCAAATGCAAATTTTTGCTCCAGGACTGGTCTTCAGCGGTACCGCGGTTAACAATAGAGAGTGAAGTGGTTGAGTGTGTTGACCACTTCACTTACCTGGGAAGTAGGATCAACTCCGGTGGGTTAGTTGCCGATGAGATTTCTGCACGGATACAAAAGGCTCGATTGGCTTTTGCCAATTTGCGCCACCTATGGCGCCGCCGTGATATTCGTTTGTCTATTAAGGGTCGCGTGTACTGCACAGCAGTCCGCTCTGTTCTACTGTATGGCTGTGAAACATGGCCATTGAAAGTGGAAGACACAAGAAGGTTACAGGTATTTGACCACCGTTGCCTTCGTAGTATAGGACGTATTCCGTGGTGTCACCATGTGAGTAATGCAGAAGTTAGGTGTAGAGTTTTAGGGAGAAGAGGTAAGTCAGTCGACGAGGTTGTGAACCTTCATCGACTGAGATGGTTGGGACACGTACTACGTATGCCTAGTCACCGATTGCCTCGTCACACAATGTTGGCTGAGGTGGGTTCAGGCTGGAAAAAGGCCCGAGGTGGCCAGACTAAAACATGGCACCAATGTATGAAGTCTCTGACTGTTGGTTTAAGCCATGTAGGACGATGCAGACTAGGTGGTTGGGGTCCACGGGACAAGAGGAACCAGTGGTTGGAGACCCTAGGTGATATGGCTCAGAACCGAAGTCAGTGGCGCAGATGTATACACACATTATCCTCATCTTAACAACGCTATACCGAATCTCACTATTTTGTCACTCCTCTTTCCTTTCTTCTCGTACTTTATATTTCTTTTGACTGCATTCACTTATCTTCATCCTTCACCTCACTACCTTTTTACTTGATGTGCTGATATGAGGTGTGGCAACTCGGACCGTTACGCAGTAATGCCTGGTCCTATGTTGATAATGATGATGATGATGATGATGATGACAAGTGCAAAGGCTAATCACTAAATATTCTTACTTGTTGTATACCCACGAATGGGAGACTAAAGAAGAATATAATACAATAGCCAGATAGAATAGTATATTTGATCTGCCAATACGTTCCGATTATCTGGCTAAAGGAACGTGTACAAGTAGCGCAATGTAACACGACAGCGTACCAAATGGCATGATTGCTTGACCGTATGCCTTATACTTAGCTAGTCCGTTAGAACTATGAAGGTTAACATCAATGTTGAATTGTGTCGAACCCTAGGCTATTGATTTCAAAGAATAATGTGACGTTACAAGACTATTTGTGTGATATGTGTTGATAAATGTGTGAATAAAAACATTCCAACTATTAGTGTGACCATGCACAGTAATCTTGTTCGAAATATAACTCATCATTAGAGATTTACACTTGTATATTAACGTTTATGGTGTACATTCATTAGCACCGAGAGTGACTCTTTTACAACAGTAATAAAAAGGTAACAAGTGGTCAGGAATATAACGTTTAACTTCATTCATATTCAATGTTACATTGTAATATGTTGCTTAACATGAATGGATATTTTAATGCCTAAATAGCTCAATTGTAACATCTCAGACGGAATATCACTTCCGTCTAGGTTGCAGATACGCCGTGCTAATGAATTCCAACAAGCATGAACCCTAGGTACACAGCTAGCTTCCTGCTGATTGTCTCCATCCAGTTACCATATTTAGTGCTGAATGTTATATAGTTAATTCAATAACTATTAGAAAGTGCAATTTTATGGCAAATGTAATACGGTCTGTCCCGGAAGTTCCTGAAATATGTCCTGTAAACGAAGTGGTCCCAAACTGTATTTATCAAATACATTTCAACAGTTTGATAAAGTTTCTGTTACTACTATTTATGTATGTAACAGAGTATAGAATGGTAGTCAACTCTCTACTTCAACTTCACCGACTTTGAAAAAGCCTTCGACAGCGTCGACCGAAAAGTAACTTGGCAACTGCTTCAACACTACGGAATACCACAAATCTTTATCAACCTCATTCAACAGCTGTATGAAGACACCATATGCCAAGTGATCCACAATGGGAAGCTCAGTGACACCTTCGAAGTAAAGACAGGAGTAAGACAAGTTTGCTGTCTGCTATCACCCATAATGTTCCTGATTGTGGTGGACTGGATCATACAACAGACTGTGAGGAGCCAGAAGATGGTCATACGCTGTTTGACTGATGAAAAAATTCCTAGAAGATTTGGATTTTGCCGGTGACTTGTGTCTAATGTCACACAAACTGGAAGATGTAAAGGCGAAAACTAACAAGTTGACAGAAGAGGCGAGGCAACGAAGGTGGGACTTCAAGTGAACGTAGAGAAGACAGAGGTGATGAAGATACCAAACCAACACCATCAATAACAACAGCATGCTCCAATCACCATGGACGGGAGAAACTTAAAGGAAGTAGCCTCTTTCACCTATCTAGGCATCACTGTTTCAACTACACGTGGCATAGGCGAGGACGTCAAAGCCAGGAT